CATAACCTATTGTGCGTTTTTCAAAAAATCCCTCCTTTATGCCGGTGGTTTTCCCAGTCCAATGTCAGTAACTCTCTGGTGATTTCAAAAGACGCTTTTAATGGCCTCAAGGGAAGTTCAGTAACTTTCTTTGTAAGCGGTAAACTCACTAATTGAGAAGTTTTCGTTGATAAGCGAGTAACGACGGGGAAAAATTGCAGTCCTTGAATATTACGTGCATCGTAACGTGAAATTGAAGAAATTATAATATATTTTACTTATGATGCTTGTTTTCCTTAATAACTTGAAAAACATCCGGAAGAAGCGCGTTACAACTTGATGAATAAGATCCATGTTTAGAAAAAAGAAACAATGTAGAAGTAGATAAATTAATTTAATTTGTAGTATAACACTTACTGCGAGTCACCGAAAGAGAAGCGGGACAAACTGTTTGCTAGATCAAGTTAAATAACGTTCTTATAAAAAATATACGATACACCTAAGGATTATTGTCTATAGAATGTGCTAATTTGTCACACGATAGGATGTATTTTACTTGATCATGTCAAATCCTGGAAACAGGCTAAAATATAAGTCTATAACGCTTTATTTAAGAACAAAATATCTAACTTTACACATAATTTGGAAATATATATCTCTAAGTACTACAGAGAACCTGCTAATTTTTGGTTTCATCGGAAGCCCTATAGTTGGATAATTCACACTTATCCCAAAATTTGAAAATTGTCCAGCAGTTTAACTAGACGCCGCGCGATGCGCTGCCCCGTCAGTCGCCGTCGGGCATTTGTCGATGACGGATCTGTGTCAAATTTTCTCCGATGTAGGCTCGAGTTGAAATATTTTGCCTAAGAGTGGTTACACACGACGACGTTTAGCAGCGATGCAAACGCGCGACTGCATCGATACAAACGCGCGATTACGTCGATACAATCGCCTTTATATAATTTTATTATTATTATTACACACAACAACGCATTTGAATCCAATGTATACAATAAAAAGAAACGGAAAATTTAGTAATATAGTTATGAAAAGTACTTCACTAGTTTTTTCATTGTAAAAATTGTAAATTCATTACGGATGTGAACTTTTATATATTGAATCGATGATTTTTATAAGACGAATTACAGCGTCCTGCTGCGCTAGTCCCTCCGGCGCGGACGAGAGATGCAAGCGTTCAGTTTGGGTATGCGTAGGAGATAAAGAAAGAAAATATGTGCAGCGCTGTTGTGCAACCAAACAGGTTGTTGCCTGTTCGAAAGTCACCCGCTCCCGCACCTCGCCTCGAACCCCCATCCGCATGGACACGACACTTCACAAAATTATCTATACATTTCATATATTATCAAATTTGTATAAAAATATTAGAGTTTAAGTTTATTTTATTGATATACTGTTATTTACATATTAAAAGTATTTCACATGTGTATGTAGTTGCATGTACACTACCTATTATGCTGGTTTTCTTATCTATTTATTTATTTATCTATTTATTGTTGAGTTAAATATGTATTAATAATTATAACAAACTAGTGGAGTAATTTCACAAAAAATAATTGAATATCAATTCAATAAAAATTTAATTAATACAGTGAATAGCGACATCTCTCGCCAGGACTGGTAGCTGTAAAGGTACTAACTGGGTGATAAATCTGTCATAGATTTCTCATAGATGGCGCTACGACTAAAAAGTCGTTGAAAAACCAAATACAAAGACACGACGCAAGCACATAGAAAAATTCGTGAGGTCCGTTGGTTCGTTCCGTGGCTTAGTTGGTATAGCGTCTGGCACGGTATGCAAGAAGACGTCGGTTCAAATCCGACCGGACCGAAGGAATTTTTTCTGAGTGTTCGATCTTTGTGTTAATAATTATAACAAACTAGTGGAGTAATTTCACAAAAAATAATTGAATATCAATTGAATAAAAATTTAATTAAATATGTATTGTTGTCAGTGGCTCACTCGCCCGGGCTTGCTGAAAATCAGCGCCACGAAACGGTTTTAAAAAAAGCCTTTTGTGGCTAAGGCTGAGCAAGTCCCGATTGCACCAGGCGCGACATGCATGACGGTGAATTAGGTACTGCATTATCAATAGTTTTAATTTTTTATTTTTTTTTTATTTTGTATTTTATTATTATTGTATCATTATTTATTTTAGACTCTCGCGTCTCCGACAGCTTAAAAGATTAAATTTGAAATGTTATTATTATTATTATTGTTCCTCTGTTGTTTTGTTTATATGCGTGTCTGTGCTTGTGTAATAAACGGTTTTCTTTCTTTCTTTCATAAATCCCAAGTGTAGTGATGCAATCACGCGTTTGTTTCGGTGCAGTAGCGCGCTTGTATTGCGTTAGCATCGTTGCTTAAAATCCCGCGCGTGTGTAGGCGATTAGCTTTTTATTGATGCTATTAGATTGATGGGTTCCACATTATTTTAATATCATCGGATTTCCATAGTGTAACAAATTTAAAGTTGATCCAATAAGCGAAACTAAAGTAAGTATTGTAAAACTCTAATAATAAATAAATTATATTAAAAACACCTTTAATATTTAAACGTTGAAATCATAACACAATTGTTACTAATCAGATTTTATTTAAACAAAAATTCATTACGGCGCGTGAGACGCGAACGAGTCTCCGTCATCTGTGGCAGGAAGCGCAGGCAGGCCAGGAGGCGGTAGCGTGGCGCCCGACCAGCGCCGACCTAAATACCTAGTGCGGCAAACTTTTGCCCGCTTCGAGTACGAGTTATTACGACACAAGTATAACGCTACAATATTCATTTTATGACACTACACTGACAAAGTTGATGATCTAAAACACCTAAACAGAATATGTTCAGCAAACAGCTAAGAACTTATATAGCCATCAAATAAAAAAACCGTTTCGAGACCAGTCCATCCGTTTAGGAGATATGATGTTAATTAAAAAATAACAGATAAATAGATAACAGATAAAGGCTTCAAACTTCAACTCTCTTCTTTTTGCATCGGGGGTTAAAAATAAAGATTATTGCTATGCCGAAGTATTATATCAATTATCTGCTTCGTCACTGACACAACTCAAAAATTGATAAATCACCACTAATCGCAACTGCAACTACTTTTAGTAAGTACTCTTGTTGTACATAATAAAGCCACATGCCGATTATATTATGTCAAAAGTGATTTCGCACCCCTCATGGAAGAATGGCATAAATGAAGTTACGTCGAACATGTTTATTGCTCCATCAGATACAGAAAGATATAACCCACATCCTCGCAATTCTTGTAACTCTAGCGACTAATATTGACGTTAGATTTACAAGAATTGGAGAGAATGTGCGCTATATTTTTTTGTATCTAATGGAGCAATAAACATATTAGACGTAACTCCACTTATGCACTTCTTACATAAGTGGTGCGATTTAATTATAGGAAAATCATGAAAACAATACGGACTACATGAAACAAATCCCACATCCTCTTTAATTCTTGTAATCTGTATCGACAACATTAGTCGATACAGTTACAAGAATTGGAGAAGAAGTTGGTTACATTTTTCTGTATCTAATGGAATAAAAATCAATTTTGACGTAACTTCACTTATGCCATTCTTCCATGAGGGATACGAAATTAGTAGTCCTATCTAATCCTAGTAAGTCCTATTTAAGCATAAAAGTTATCTACTAATTTAATATATAATTAATATAATTAATTTAATGTTCTTAGGATATTTATACTTCTCTCCTGAAAAGTTGTAATTTTGCAGATATGGCTATATTACACCAAGGTTGCGAATGGTAACAATGAGCCAAATAATTGCACTAACTACATGGTCTCTGAATACCCTGTAGTACGAGTGCCAGAATAATGAAATTACCTCCGAGGTCATTAGAACATCTAGACCAGTGCTACTACCATGAATTTACCATGTCGATAATCGCTTGCGGTTACGTGATTTATTTTCATTGACACTTGAAATATTCTTGTTACGCTGTTAGAGGTATCGAATCAATTCGGAAAGTTCCTTACTTAAATTGCACCTACCAGGAACCCAAAAACATTCTCATAGGACCCACGCCACCGAGGTCGTTATGTCAAATATCGTTAAAGACAGGAATAATTTCAACACGTCCTTCTAAATTTAAATAAATTTGATACCTCATCCAGAGCTATGTAAAATCCATAATGAATTTTATCTTCCTCGTGAATTTATTGTATGGGCTCCTTAATTAACTTGGGCATGTATTCTAAACAACAAAAAATTTTGTTCCACCGAGTTGAAATAACAAATTAAATTTATCCAAAAATTTTGTATAATTTATGTCGAGGTTCCGTTGTGTCGGAAACATGACTCTGGAGGATCTTGACTACTGGAAGCTGTAGAAGTATATAAAACCTACATGACGTCATTTATGTAACCATAAATCACCTATAGCCCGATTTTCACTCAAAGCTGGCTTCCGCAATTTGTGTCATCCACCATTCACCTATCTACGTCTCGCTTCAAGATGTCATCTTTCTGTAAACACTTCCTGGTTACGATCCGGTTATCGCTTTACTTTATCTGTCAACGTTAATGCAAAAACAATTGTACAGCCGATGCCCTCAATTAGGTATCCACTATTTGTACAGCATTTACTACATATATCCACCCTACATCATTTGAAAACACACTTACAAAATAATGTGGTTATTATTGTAATAATATTACTGTAGTAAACTTGCTATACATACGCAATAAGATGTCAAGCGTATAGTTTTATCAATCTATTAGGCAACTGTGTAATAATCTGTAACAAGCATTGTACCGACAATAAATCATAGTATACATCATATAAGACAAGTGGGGTAACTCCATACAATCGTAGTAGCGCGGCTTGTATGTGTGCACGTCTGCCGCGAGCCGTGTACGGACGCACACATTCGCTTAATCTCGCGCAGTTAAGAAAGCTTTAGTTCACGTAGCTGCGACGTGTTTTCATACATCTGTTCACACCATGAACTAAGCTAACCGAGCTTAGATATAAGGCAGAGTTGTTGCATGTAGCTACGTGAGCTAAGCTAACTTAGCTTCGCATCACTCGCGATGTGGCCTGCACTTTATACAGATCGTCTCTCGTACTACTCAATATAGAAATGAAACTTTCGCTCGATGTTTAAAAATGACTTCAAATAGTAGGCGTCTTTATAGTAGTGTTTATGGTTGTTTGAACAATAGTGCCCCAAATTCAGAATTGTTCCGTATTGAGATACCAACCCGCGATGCTGATATAAATATATTCGTATGAAAGTACTGCATTTTACAAAGGTTATGTCAATACAGCACGTGAATATTGTGAAGAATATTTTTTTTGTTCAAATTATGTTTTGGAACCTGTAGGCACAACTAAAATAATAAATAACGTGTCATCCCCACGCTTCGTGAGATGTGTAGGCATTGACACGCCGAATAGGCGAGACTTGAACTACTATCTTATACTATGCACAAACCTCTTTATACAACCGTGCAGAACGTAAAACGTAGACGGGGTTATTGGTGATGAATAACTATTATCATAACCTGATTAAATACCATACGGTTATAAACCATAACGATGCTAAAATTCTTCTATAATTAAAAAGCGACTTAATAAATTCACCAAATAAGTCATTTTTATAATACCAATTACCAAGTAACGGGACGAACTAGTCGTGCACCACGTTGTGAACGACACGCCTATCCATAACAGTTGCAATGCCACTCAAACCTTTAAATCGTAAAGATTTGAGGGGCACTGCCACGGCGACGGTCACCCTGAGAGATGTGATTTCACCGGCACCCTTACCCTTCTAAACAGGAACAGAAATAGGCTGGTTGGCAGTTGACGAACTCTTTAAGAAAGAACCCTTCTGCTGCTAAGTCTATCTAAGGGACATCCACCAATAGATGAATCTATTTGAAACCAAAGACTACGGTGCATTTCTCCAACAAATATTATCACAGTCTATGTCTCTCTTGTTCCAGATAATGCATCCGAATACAGGACACAACGACATAAAACCGTACAACGAATGGATGAGGCAAGGCTGAATCAAGATGTGGCGGGCGGTTGAAATGCCCAGTCCAGGTTACCGGCTCAAGGTCGGACTTGTGGTCCTCGTGATCATGGTATTGGGGTTCTTCAATGAAAGTCAGGGTAAGTGAAAACACTAAAATACACTGTAGTTGGAATTTACAGTTTCAACACTTTCACGAATTCAAAGGGTCCAATATTATCTAACTTCTGGCTGCTGACACTAGACAAAGACTTTCAAAGATCGTGAGTTGACCAAAATATGGCGGGCAATGGAGATCGTCAGTTTATCGGCTTTAAATTGAACTTTTGATGTTAGTAAGCATGGTTTTGGGGTTCTTCGGCAAGTCGGGATGTTTTTCATTGAAATGATAATGCCTGACACAAAATCTACACAAAATCCGAGCTCTTACCGCTAAGCTTTACCGCTGTAGACAGTTGCAGATTCTCTCAGTCTATAAGTGGTTTTTGACAAGGCGGCAGGTAAAAATACGCACTAAAGGTTTCCGAGTACCGACACAACGTCGGGCTCATGTTTGTTATAATCACGATGTTTAGGTTCTTCAAGAGCCAGGGTAAGTGATTATCATAAAAAGAAACTTCTATCGCCCTAGTCAACAAACTGCACATATCATTTATCCAAATTCTATTCTATTTAACTGACGAAGCCTAGTGCCGTTCTTTAGGTTATAAATTTGACTATTTCGCAAGTAACTTGTTAACCTATGAAATTAATAAATGAATATTTAGGAAATGAAACTATTTTTCCGGATTTAATCGCGTATATTTGTTTTTTCAAACAATCGGACGTTTCAGGCCCTTTACAGGTCTCATGGTCACGGTTGACTGAAGTCGTACAGTCATCAACCAGTTATGTATAATATTAATACAAACCGCCCTATTCTTTCACTATAGTTACAAACGTTATTAGTTAAATACCTTATTTTTAATTTTACAAAGAAAACATTCCAATTTTCGCTACATTACGTTTCACAAATTATTTTATTTGAAATTTATTATTAATTAATAATAGGAATAGGAATAAATTAAAACATTTTAATTAGTACTACAGTCTTATGTCTGTCTCGGATTTTTAATCCAGTATTTCCTCTGGAAATACTGGATACTAAGCTGGTGGTACGGAGAAACCATCTTCCCTGTTGAAATTAGGATGTTTTATTAATTTCAATGGCCTCTTGCAGCATCATGGGGTAGATAACGGGCTTCTTTTGCAAAGACCTGGGGCTTATCAAACCTGTGTAGGTTTATCCATGACATGCTAGCAGACAGAAAACTTGTTTACGCGACGACGGTGTTTGACATCAGCTATATGTTCTTTGACGCGAGTACAAATACTTTGCGTGCAACTACGCGTGCCGTTGGCCTACGAGCCCCGCCCACTAAAGCACTTCTACTGTATTTATTGTTGTGTAATGTACATCTTCTCGTTAAATCAGAAATTAATCTCAATGTCAACGTAACCTAATGTTCCAGGTTTTAGACCTTAAATTTAATAGTTCGTGGTCTCCATAAATTGAGTTGGTCAAGTAACTACATTGTACGCAGAACACCCAATTACCCAAGTTGGTTCGAGTTTATCTCAGTTTACACCTAAATCTAAGCGAGGGAATGTGATAAGGTCAAGTTCTGCACACACTGACCAAATACATGAACGGTTCCAAACACAGTCAATATTGAAACTCGTTTTACAGAATATCGTGTGAAAATTTACAAACATCCTGAGTGGATCCACATAGTATGGCAATAAATTTCTGCTTACTGTAAGTGAATGTTTACTAACTGTATTTATTGAAAGTGAATGTTTACTGGCCGTATTTACTTGTCCTTATCTACTGACCCGAGAGATAGGGCATTCCGGAGAGACTATGGGCACGCCGGCAAGACCAGGGTACATCGGGCGTCCAGGCCAAGCCTTTGTCAATTGGGAACTGGAGAAACGCCATTTTTCGGCGTATTGTATGGTATTACTTCTTCGGCAGTAACAGGTAAGGTGGCAGTACTTCCCTGGACGAACACTTTCACAAGAAGCTCTACTGCTACTAAAATAGTTGTTTATGATGTTAACACTATAGTCCTGACAGGTTGTTAATATTTCAAAATATAACCCTGTATATTCATGTATTTTTCTGCTGTCATTGTTTTCGATGAACATGTCTTTATTTGTCTTCAGCATCTCATGTGCTACGTAAAGCGGGTTTTGTTAAACGTTTTTTTATTATTTTGCCAATTATCATTTAATAATGCTGCTTGTAATTACGATATGATAAAAAGTCCGTTTAAATAAAAAACATAGTTCGGCAACAAGCACATAGAAATTCATGAGTTCTGTTGATATATCCATAGCTCTACTGGGAGAGCGGTTAGCTCCAGTCTGGCAAACAGGATACTGGTTTGAATCCAGCCGGACCGAAGGAATTTTTCTTCGATCGGTCTGTGTATTAATAATAAAATCAAACTAGTATAGTTTTTTCACAAAAAAATATGAATATCATGATAATTTTTTTTACACACTCAACATAGCCCCGCACTAGGGATACCCTGTGTCACGGGTGCCATGGACACACACATAGACAACCACAAATTACACCCAAACTCACGAGAGAAATAAATGTAAGCCATACAAGCATTTCACCCGGCCCGGGAATCGAACCTGGGACCTCTGCGTGGCAGTCCGAAATGGTAACCGTTCGGCCACGGAGGCAGTTAACGTTAAAAAATAATAAAACATAACATTAAAAAAAAAACTAATAGTAACGCACACACTCATAGCCCCGCGCTAGGAAACCCTTGTATCGCGTGGGCCATGGACATAATACAGATAAACAGTCGCAAATTACACCTGAACTCATGAGTGAAATAAATGTAGGTAATGCAAATATTTCTCCCGACACTGCGTGGCAATATAGCATGGTAACCTTTCGACCACGGACCCAGTTGTATTGCAATATTGTAATTAAGATTTACGATCTCAGATTTTAGAACGTATATTAGTATTATACTATTTTTTTAGTAAATTGGAGCTCCTTGTGAAAGAGTTCGTCCAGGGTAGTACTGCCACCTTACCTATTTCTGCCGCCAAGCAGTAATGTCACCATTACTATGTTCCGGTTATGAAGGATAAGGGTGCTGGTGAAAATATAGGCACATGGGACTTGTCAACATGTCTCGAGGTGACGGGCGCTACCACTGCAGTGCCCCTCAGATCTTTGCAATTTAAAGCTCTGGGTGGTACTGTAACTGTTATGGACGTAGCTTACCATCAGGCGCACAACTTGGTCGTCCCGTAACATGATGTAATAAGAAAATATATCTTTGGGATACAAGATATATAAATAAGAGAACAATAAAATTAGGAATCTTTTTTTATTTCAACGATTTTATTTCTGTTTTATACAAGTTTTTGTTACTGCTCTTTATTTTACCAACTTGTTATTATGCCGCGTTTATTACGTTTTCGCTTGCGCTAAACTCGAGAACTTGGCTCTTTCTTACTATTAGTGTTTCGGATATACAGTTTACCGGCAGCTCTGAGAACTGTAGTAAAAGTTGGGTTTACTGCAGACATGCACCGTGTACTTTTGGCTCTTGTTTGTATTATTAAAAGTTTGTGTTTTACTGTATTGTATTGCATGTAATAATGCAATAACAATATTTAAAATTTCAGGTGCAATACTTACCTTTTGTAATAATTATTGGAACTGCATGCAAGTAAATTTACAGAAAACAAAATATGCCAAGCTTAATTACAAAATTATAAGCTTGACACATATTTTTTCTGCTCCAATGCAAGTAGCGTGTTATAGGTTACCAAATGTTGGTTTCATAATCATTCAATTAACCCTTTCATGGACAGTTCTTAAGTAGCACACAAAAATATCAGTACTTTTCTTGCCGTAGTGCTTAATACTGATTCAATATAAAATGTACATAATGAATGTAAGTCATTGAATTTTGTCAGTATGTTTGTTACGCGGGTCTTGCGTTAGAGCGCGTTCCCATTATGTAGCTCGTAACGATTTATTTTTCATGCAGTTAATTATCCCACCCTCCCTCCACATAAAATTAATAAAATAAATAACAAAAGCGCAACTAAAGTCACAAACCACCACCAACTCGTGGAGAGGCGAAACACGTGTCGGGTATACCCGACACGTGTTTCGTCTCTCCACGAGGCATCCTCAGGGGCTGTTGACTGCTCGACGCTCGGCCGAAGAGTGAGCTCTTTTTTTTGAAAGATATTTTGCAGTTGGCTGCTGATGGCCTTGACTGAGCCACCGGAAAAAAGGGCGAGCTGAAGGCTTATAGCCCGTAAGATAAACTTAAAACTAAGTAGCCGGCCTTAGGGCGCCCAAGTGGGCACGGACCTCGGCTCAGGGCGCTACTGAAGACTTCCGCCAGAAGGGCGTGCTATAGGAGAGAATCTACCAGTGAACGTGCTGAAATGACTGAGTGACTCTACGACTTCGCCGGCGAGGACAGTTGATGCGTGAGGAGAGGGACTGATTAGCGATCTAGTTGGGATGAAATCGTTCAGAACGGTTGGTGTATTTATACCCCGCCACCCCCAGTGTTGCTATTGTTGAAACCCGGAAATACCCGTAATAAAGATGATGACGATGAAGTAAGCGTTAATTTATATTGTCTACGGACTTATAACAACGGATTACCGTAAATCACGCTAATCACAACATTTACGAGGATTTGATATGGCCATAAAATTACCGAAATGTAAATTAATAATCAAATGTTACGCGACTATGCCCGACGATATTATTTTTATATGACAAGTCATAAACCTAGTGTTAAGCGACACGCCTGTTCATAGCAGTTGCAGTACCTACCGCTCATCGCAAAGCTCTGAGGGGTACCGAAACGCAGTAATGTTAATTACTGCTTGGCACCAGAAATAGCTAAGGTACCAGTACTTTCCTGGATCAACTCTTTCACAAGGACTATGAAAGCTATGAAAGGCTGTACTACTACTCATTTAATGGCTTTATTGTACGACGGGTACGAAACATACTTTTTATTTTTGCGCAGTTAAATGATAAATATAATCTAGTCTGCAATTAATTCGGTCAAAGCATTTGTATTATGAGCTT